GGAGGCTCACCAACTGACTCTGAGTGCTCAACTAGATCAACAAAACGCTGGATGTTGATCCTGGTGACCTATATCTTGATCATAAAATGATGCAGCCCAATGGCATTAGTACATTGAATGTACAAGAATGAGAGGGGAAAACTAAACATGAAATTAGCTTTAAATATATTTTAAAAGAAATACTTACCTTAGCTTTACTCAACTCATGGATACTCAACTTAATGCATGAATAAACAACAGTAAAGGTGTAGTTTATATAAAGCATTTAAACACTAAATAGCAACTCAAATTTAATCATATAGTAAAGCAATATAATTCTCTGGGAGTTTCTCTAATAAAAAACTATCACTATGATCTATGTGATGACACAACGTATATCCCACATTTCCAAAACTATCCTGTCACTTATCGGGGTATAGAACGGCTCAACTAAGTGGATCCACTAGTCTACGCTAAAAACACGAAGTAATCATCTAAAACATATGACCCTTTATAACCACGTTGGCTACATGGTTTATGGAGAAATTGAGTTGTTATGAACTCGTCTCCACATTATTGCTCAATAGTACTCCTAAAATACTTAGTTCATATGCTTAAAAACAAAAACTCTTTATGTGGTTTGAGATAATTACTCAAAAACTAGCTCAAAGGATCTCTTGAAATTGGTGTATTCTCTCTTGTTTAAATATGAAAACAATTACTATTTGGGAATATGTAGTTCTCGTATACTCTTTTTGAAGAAATGAACTTCATTTCTTACTCTTACTTAACTCAAAACTCAAGTCATAAAACAAGTTTAAAGCATTTATAAAAGACTTTTTTAAAACACTCTAAGAACTCTCTAGACTTGGGTCTTAACTTTCCTTAAATATGAATTTATGGATTCAAGAATTTGTGATTTTCAATAAGAAATATTTCATGATGTTAAGGAGTGTTTTTAGATAGTAAAACATGAGAAAAGATATTCTTAGGTAGTTAAACATGATAAACGATCAAGAAATCACTGCCTTAAAGAAAGTCTACAACGCGGAGATGTATTTAAAAATATTCAGTTGTGAAATAAATATTGAGGGAAAAGGGTCCGTGATCGCTCTGCGAAGCGGAGAAAAAAATTCCTATCCCAAGGAACAGGTCTGCGATGCAAACCTGGTACCCAAATTCGCCTGACTTTTTCCTTCTTCATTTTCTAACCTTATTTGCCTAAATTTAATTCTTTTTCTCTAATTCTCTTTAGATTCAGTTTCCAATAAATGTACACAATAATCTATTCGTAAAAAAAAATCTAAAATCGACACGATTTCCTCAAGAACTCAACAATTCCAACTGAACTCATGAACGAAAGCCAATATTCAAGAACACAATTAAAAATCATCAATTTTCTACTTTCTAGAATGAATTTCACTAAACTAAACATGATTGGTGTGTGGGTGAACGGACCCAATTCTATGAGTTTCACATACCTATTTAGGGATCAAACCTTGGCAAAACGACTTAGATTTCGCAAGAAATCTCAAAAAATTCCTTGATTTTTCTCCTCTTCTCTCTTCTCTCAAAGACCTAGCGTAATTCTAATTTGTGAAAACTTAACTAACTCAATTTAGACCCCAAATAATTTACTAAAAGTAGATTTAATTAATTGGGTAATGAAAAAAACAAAACTTTCTAAAAGTCAACCTGAGTTAGGAGTTATGATCGTTTGAAGTTGTTCTAAAACTCCTACTTAGCTTAACTTTGTCAAACTCTCCAAATTTATTATTTTCAAAAATAGTTGCTTTCTAATTCTACTTCTTTGAAATAGTGAGGTGTTACGGATAGCTAGCCTTGTACTCATCTATACACTAAAACCCACCGGTCTTCTAAATCAACTTAGTCAAAGGGACTACAGTGAAAGAGAAGCTTTGAATGAATCAACGTAATAACCCGCTAATCCAATAGAACTCCGAATCTCAATAGGGAAAGTAGGTCTCATCCAATCATGAATTTCTGCAACTTTAGCCGGATAAACATAGTACCCTCCTTGATCACTATATAACTCAAGGAAGCCACAGACTCAAGTGAAAAGTCACACTTAACAATCCTTGCATGTAGCCTCTTCTCTCTCAACCTTTGAAGTACGGTCCTAAAGTGACAAATATGATCAGCCTCATTCTTGGAGTAAACCAAGATGTCATCAATAAATACAATGACGAAGGAATCCGAAGAAGGTCGAAAAAACCAATTTATCAAATCCATAAGACTGCATCATTAGTCAACAGAAAGGATACGAGCATAAACTCATAATGGTTAAAACAAGTCTTGAAAGTTGTCTTCGAAAATCCATATCTCGAACCTTCAAATGATGGTAACCCAACCACAAGTAGTCTTGTAAAACACAGATGCACCAGAAAGTTCATCAAATAAATAATGAGTGCAAGGAACCGCGTAGTCATTCTTGATCATAACTTTGTTTAATTGATGGTAGTCAATACACATACGTATAGTATCATTTTTTTCTTCACAAACAAAATTACTACACCCCACGGAGAAACAATAGGTTGAATGAGACCTTTCTTCAACAAATCCTCTATGCTCTTTCAACTCCTTTAACTTGCCCGGAGCCACGAGACAAGAAAAACTAGAAATGTGCTTGATGCTCCAAATCAATCACAAAGTCAATATAACGTTTCGGATAAATTATAAACATGCCTACAAACTCTTTTACGACCCTAAAGGTCTCTAAAAAAGACGGGCCCTTCGTAAGATCACGAATATGAATTAAATAATAAGCAATTGTTTTCCATCATATGACAAGCACATCTAAGTGATATCACTCTATTCCTACATGGACTCGGAGAACCCTTTCACTTTAATCTAGTAAAATCGAGATAAGCTAAGCCCACGATCTTAGCAAAATAATATTGAATCACATAATAGAGAGATAACCAGTTCATACTAAAGATTATATCAAATGCAATCATATCTAATAAAATAAAGTCTATCCAAGCCTCAATACCTGATAATGTCATTGCACACCCCGGTACACCTGATGCACCACGAAAGAATCGCCTAATAAAGTAGAGAAACTAAGGGGTCATTTGACAGGGAGTATTACAAGACATAGTCCAAGCATTACGTATGATACTCTTTATTACTATGTTTGGTAGGATTTTGGCATATGTATAACTAATACATGTACTAATTCATATATTAGTTATATACTCTACATGATATTGTAGGATGTACAATTAATACCTTATGTTTGGTGACATTAGTTATACATATATTTAATACCATAGGGTTAATGTAAAAATAAAAATACCCCTAAAATCTTTATAATTATTTTGTTTATTTTCTTGATTTTTATGTTTTATATTTGTACTAGTAAATTTATCTATATAAATTAATTAACAAATTTTATTCTTAAAAAAGTTGTTGTTGCTAAATAAATCCAATACAAATCAATACAATATTTGAACGTGAGTTGTATACATTTACTAATTGTAAAGGCATTATATGACCATATGATGTTTGTGAACATCATTGAATATATTATCTGTTGATATATGCGATTTTCTAATTATTTGTGTTTTCAATGATTTATATAATTGCATAGATATCAAAACTACAGCTTGGAATTTTTATTTCTAAACATAAATGGTTTATTCGATTTTATTATTGTTTACCATCTTTTCAATTTCCAGTAGACGATCTATCCTTTTAAAATTGAATATTGGTGTTTTATGAGGGATTAATATATTAATTTAACAATTATTTACCCTCAAATCATTCAAATGAGAAAATAGAAATATGGCAACAAATTGTTCTTCTCCTATTTGGTTAGAACGTCACTAATATTTAATATTGTCCACAGTTAATCACTTTGACTCAATTACATAATACAACAATAATTCAATGATATAATTGAAATGAAACTTTTTCAACAGTTATATTCCAAAGACAAGATTGGGTGGGATGGAATGGATCAAACAGTTAACTAAACATAAATCTTGCATAACTAATCCATGTATCATTGATTCCACCATTATTAATACATGCATTTATTAATTTGTTTACCAAACAACCCCTAGTATTTAGTTGGGTTGGGTGGGGGGGGGGGAATCACATACAGCATCAAGTCGCAGAAAATAAGTGGACACATGAATAGGTAGACTCGAGATCAAATAACATTGTAGTGACATTTGCATTTGAGACATCTGTCTCGGTATAACATAGCCACTAGCCTAAGAACCACCATGAGCACTACCTCGAGCTCTACCCTTTGTAGAACATCTAGCACTCTATGAATTACTAAGATAAACACTAGAAGCAACACGGTTGGGTCAATCCCTTGACATGTGACCAACTCATCACAAACCTAGAAATCTCAATGATAAGAATAACCAAAAGAGGTTTTATGTCCTCCTTGTATAACCACAACTACGCTCTCCATGACTATTTTTATTGGAAATATGTCTTCTAGCACTATATGTGCTTTGAATTGCTACATGCACTAGTCAACACTGATATATTTGGGTGTATAATCTTGACCCGGACCATTTGACTGACTCTTGGTTACACCATCCTCTCTAGGATGTCAAATACCCTCAATTATCCTAGAATGTTTGACAAATTATGAAGCAGAAATAGACTATATGTACTGCATCGACTCATACACAATGGTCACTATATATAAACTTTTGATGGTAATCAACATATCATCTATGCATTTCAACAAATGCTAAACAAGCATAAAATATAAATAATCATATTACAAGTATATGGATCACAATATCTGACTTAGGATTTTCCTCTAAACATAAAAAATTGCTATATTCATACTCAAAACTTAGAAATCAATTGAAATGAAAATTATATTATTATCCGAATATCTAGCTTGGATTTTCCCACAAGATGCGAAAATACAATTAAATATTCATCAAATCTATAAGCTAAGAAATCATATTATAACATGTATCATTATTAACGTGGAATATATTCTGCTAATAAAAGCTATTATCGAAATTGTGTTTAAGCTTACTAGACCAGCTTCCAAGATGTAAGTATATTTCAGCAAATCTGAAGAGCGTAAACGAATCCATTTTACGAGCTGATTAACACCTCCCTTTCCATCGATTATCAAAAAGGGGGCTGCCTGAATTTCTACTCCAAAATTTACAAAAGCAGAAACAGAAGTTTGCTTAATGTGCTCAAGGAACAACCTTTTGAAGCTCTTCTCATACAAGAGGTGTCAGAAATAGAAAACCACCATCAACTTTGCCCCTAACAATTAATCCACAACAAATAAAAAGCTATAAATAACAGAACTGGGAAGGAGAAAACAGTGATGGCTAAATGGTTAAGGCATAATCTTGTCGCAAATTAGGGTTTGGTGTGTTTCTTTGTTCATTGTAAATGGTGTTCGTATAGATTTTAAATGGGCTTCAAATGTGAGCCCAAAACCATTAGAATAAAGATAGGACAAGATTTCACGCGAGATGTCCCTTAGGGTCATCATGATAATTAAGAAACAAGATACAAGTATTTTTAGATTAAATTGAAATTTTAGAAATATACCTAAACTTAGTGAAGTCTATTAGTTCTAAAGTAATTTAAAATAAAATAAATACAGTACAGACGTTTACATGATATAAAGAGTGTGCATACTGTCTTGAAAGACAAGTGATGGGTGCACACATTGGACACATGCCATTTTTTTTATTGGTAATATTATACTCCCTTTCTCCATAACTAATTGTCATGGTTTCTTTTTTTAGAGTTAAACTATAAAAAATTTGACAAATATTTTACGATGTATATATTCATTATATTGATATGCAAAAAAATGCAATTTAAAGTACTTTTGTGATGATTTTTGAATAGCTAGTTTTTTTAAAATAAATATTAAATTAATGTAATCTAATTTAACTTTAATAACTACACAAATTGACTTTTGAAAAGCGCAACATGACAAATAAAAGTGGATGGAGTAAGTAATTAGTACACATTTACTTATTTTGAAACTTCTATATATTTTTTATTATTTTTATTTCTTTCGTCATAACATATTTATTTTAATTTTGTTTCACTTTAAACTTTTTTAAAATTAATTTATTATCTTTTTAACTTTTAGTTAATTTTTAAAAATTATGTATCTTTTAAAATAAATTTTAAATGTCCTTTAATTTTAAGGTTTTGATTTTTTTTTATGTTTTATTTAAATATGAAGCACAAATAGAATACACATATCGCATCGACTCATACACAACGATCATTGCATATAAACATTGATAATATTCAGTATTATCATCGACGCATTTCAACAAACACTAAACATGCATAAAACATAAATAATCGTATTAGAATATATATGGATCAGAATATCTGGCTTCGATTTTCCCATAAGATGAGAAGATACATTAAAAAGCGCTCAGTTATTTCAGCTTCGAACATCTGGGGAAATATTCATCAAATCCATAACCTAAGCAATCATATATTCTGCTAATAAAAGCAATTATCAAAATTGTGTCTCAGAAAATGTGAAGAGCATAAACGAATTCATTTAATGAGAAGATTAACACCTCCTTTCCATCATTTTATGAGCTGCCTCAGTTTCTACTCAAAAATTAAAAAAAGCAAAATATCAAAGCAAAAAACAAATCTAGTTCGAAAATCATATGTTTTGGGATTTGAAATTTTTTAAAAAAATTAACAGAGTCCGCATAATCCTGTCGCAAAATTAGGGATTGGTGTTTTATTTGTTCACTGTAAATGCTCAACTTATAGATTTTGAATGGGCTTGAGGCTTCGAATGTGTGCCCAAAACGGGTAAAACTTAGAAAAACTTACGTAAATATACTATAAATAAAAAATATTTATTATTTATACTAATAATATATTTTTATTTCATCACTTTTAATACATTTACAATGCACTTTTAATTCATATTACAAAAAAGAATATATTATTCACATCTAATACAAGTTTTATTGATGAATGCTACATTTATTACACATTTAATATACTTACACTACAAATGTGTCATCTTCTTACCAAACAAGCATAATATACTTTTAAAACGGCTATAATATATATATATATATATATATATATATATATATATGTATGTATGTATGTATGTATGTATGTATGTATGTATATATATACAGAGAGAAAGAGAGAAAGAGAGATAGATAGATAGATAGATAGATAGATAGATAGATAGATAGATAGATAGATCGATAAATAGATAGATATGTATATATACATGTTTTGTATACTTAATTCACTTTTAATACATTAGTTAACATAGTATTGCTAAAAATGGTAACAAATAAATAATGTCGCTAAAATCCGTAATTATTTTTTAAAAGACACCTATCCAGTTTTTTTTCCTAAAACTTATCCGCACCGAGTGTATATATTCGATGCGGGTAAGTTTTGTCTGTCCAAAACCATTTGAATGAAGTTATATGTATATAGGTCCAGATTCCACGATAAATGCATTTCAATATCGTTTGGGTTGTTTGGTAAAATATGCTAGGAAAAATAGAGAAAAATAACGAAAATATCCTCTAGATTTGGCATCATTGTTAGTTTCCTTCTCAAACCATTAAAAGCTTTAAAGATCTTTTTTACTTGGCTAACTGAACTTAAATGTAATTTGAATTTGTTATGTGACAAACAAGTAATCTCAAACTCTTATAGGAGTGTGAGACACTTGATAAAAAAAAACTGAGACAACGGTTGAAAACATCCATAAATTTGGCTAGAATTCATGAGTGTATTTCATCTATCTGACAAGTTTAGGGATGTATTTATATTAAGTTAGAATTTTTTTTTACTTAATAAAGGTCTGGATCATAAATATTCAAAGTAAATAAAATTAAATTAGAAAAAATATTAATTCAGGAGATAAGTAATGGACTGATCAATAATATACTTTTAGATATTTTGGTTTTAATCACTCATTTAGCACTGCACTTTTCCTTTTTGTGATGTTTATTTTTTTAAATACAATTATAAATTATAATAAAACTAGCTTATAACTTAATTGTTTTCCTAAGGAACCTCATTTTAATAAAAATTATAAATTAATGTAAATTTAAATGTAATATAATAAATATATTGCATTAACAAATTATTACCGATATTAAAGACTTAACTAATGACTATATATAATATATAATATATTAATTATAAATGTTATATGATATAAATAATATTTAAATTATGAAAGAAAAAAAATAGAAAGCATGAATAATAGTTCTCCAACCCCTTTCTATTTTACTCTATATTCCCTATATTTGAAGAATATAATTGAGAATGTCCTCTCCAACCACTCTCTAATTCTCTCGTTACTCTCCAATCATAACAAGTTGAATAATAATTCTCCAAATTTGGGGATTTACTATTCATACAATATATTTCACTTTTTAAATATTGTATTATAATTATTTTATTTTTTTGTGTAATTAACATATTATTTGTTATATAAGACTATTGGTTAAATCTCTAATATTAGTAATTCTTTTTAAATGTAATATAACATTTTAAATATATATTATTCACTAGATACTGTTTTTTCCGAATTAATAATATTTTTACAAAAATTGTCACTTTAAGTGATATAATTTGATATGTCTATTAATTTTCACTATGAAGAATGCACATAATTTAAATGATAAGATGAAAATTTTAATTTAAAAATACAACGCATAATATAATAATTTGAATACAAGATAACATTACACTACATAAAATAATAATTATAAAAAGCACAAAAATGATTTAGTAATTCGGTAGGCCGTTTCCTGATTTAATAATATTTAGAAAAAATAAATATATGGTCCAAAAAATGTTGTGATTGTAATTGCGGTCAAGTTTGTTGAACAATTATTAGCTAGTCATAAAATGAATTAAGAAAAAAATGCTCATTTTGAACTCCGTAAACCATCCAGATCATTTTCTTTTTTTTTTACAATCTTTTCAGCGTTTAGAACTTTCCTGTAGCAACCACTAGTCATTCACAACTTCCTGAAACTGGTAGATTGGTTGTCAGGTTGTTGGTTTGGATTTCATCTATGTTTTCATATTTTAGAGTCTTTGAAACTTGAACGGTTGATTTCAGTTACCGAGTCATTTGTTGGGATTTTGTGTAAGCTTTCATATTTTAGAGCCTTGACACTTGAATGGTTCAATTTAATTAAAAGGTTAGAAAGATGACCTCTGAATTCAAATTTGACAGTTTCATTAGCTCCCAAAAAAATCATTTTAGGCTAACACATGATTGGTTTGGGCCCAAGACTTCTGGTATGAGTTTGTGTCGTTAGACATTTTAACTTTGAATCTTAAGTCAAGGGTTAAAATTGTCAATTTTTTTGGTAAACGTGCTCGAAAGTGAATTTTGTCAGCAAAATTAATTTTGTAATATCGAGTTTTGTCTAGAAAAATCTTTTTTGCAGTGTTCTAGGCTTCTGATCTCTTTTTGAGCTTCTCATGGTTTTAAGCTTAAATGATATACGGGGATGGGACCCCTTTTTTTGTCAAAACAAATAAGGTTGGATGTTTTGATGGTAATGTTGAGTTTGGAATGTCGAATTCAATAGGGTACAATACTTTGTTTGCATGCGTGGGGTTCTGACTGAAGCTCAAGCACCCCATCGGATAATTAGGAGTTGGAGCAAATCAGCTAAAGTGTTGATATCCAGTGCAAACTTTTAGTAGTCAAATATTAGAATTTTAGCAATTGTAATTTACTTTTAGAGACCATATCAGGTATTTATACCTAGAAATTTCAGTTTTAAGCCCTCATTTTCAAATGACATTTTTTCTATCATCTGGCGCTATTTTCGAGGACTATCATGTATATATGGTTGAGAGAGAAATTGGTATTCTGAGGCATATCACTTCATGGTGTCATATTGGATTGCATCCCATGACATTCTTCATTCTTGATGATTATGTGTTTCATTTGTGGTTGGGAAGTACTTGATATTTGATTACCTCAATTTGACGAACTAGATCTTGTGTGTTGCTGATATTGTGAGTGTCTTTTTGTGAAAGTTTGTAATTTTTGAATATTGAGTTGTAGTTAAGGATCTGTAATTTGTTAAAATGATTTTGAAGAGTTGGATGATATGAAAACTGTGAACTTTTTGATTGAGCTAATTGGTATGCAGGTTGTAGTTGTGGAGGTTCGATTTGTGTGTAAGGGGTAGCCGTATTTTATTCCCTTAGCTTGTGTTATGAAGTTTATTTGCTGGGTACCGTGTGCTTTAGT